TGGTTAATGGTCGGAGCGATTTTTCAAAACCCCGCCGCTGACCATTTCGACCGACTCAGCCTTCATTCTCTTCGTCATATCCCTTCTATGGCGCTATTGATTTGCATATCGCGATTATCTTCTCAGTCTTCACTCATTCATGTTGAAACCTTATTTGAACCGCTTTTTACCAAGAACTGGTCTACCAGCACTTTTTTTTAGACGAGGTTAACGCGATTTTGCAGACACAAAGAGTACTAGTAACATTCATTTGATGATGAAAACATAAAGTGTAAGATGGGAAAAACATCTTGTAAACATAACTGCAAGTCACCCTTGCACTCTTTTATCGATTGGCCATCAAAATCTAGATAGATAAAACAAAAATCCATCTTTTATTGTGATGAGATCAAGGAGTTGGCGTCTGGGGTGCCTAGGTTTAAGCAAATTTAAGCTGTCTTTGCAGCTGTGAAGACCTTTCACTGACGTCGCTATCCTCTGCTCCAGAGTGCATTCCACTCTTCCGGCCCCCTCCCTCCTTAAAATATGTTATTATTCTATGGCCAGCAGTAAGTTGCTCACGCTCTATCTCCGTTAAACAGTTCGACCAATTTCAATATAGCTTTGAGCGCTCACAATTTGTCTTGAAAGCTTTAATTTCAATCCAGCTTCTGTTTATGCAATCAACTGAGCATATGTACGAATTTAAAATCTGCTATGCAGTTCCAACCATATCTTTATTGTTACCTATTTCAGGTGAGGTATATGCGGTAGGGACCAGTGTGGAATGGCACAGTGTGACGACTCGACGCAACCGCCGTCAAGTTGGAATCGGGACCCTCTAAGGGAGCAACTAGCAGCTCATCTGGCCACGCACACCCCAATTCAGGTTCCTAACTTCTCTACTTATTTTCAACCGCACTCCCTATATACTGGTTTTTTAGCAGCAGAAAAAAAAACCAGCCGAGGATAAAGTGCACCGCTGTGTTCAACAAAACATTTGTCTGTTTAATAACTGGGGGGTTACAAAATCAAATAACATTTTGAATAGGGAGGGACTAACGCGATAGAGTTCTACTGCTGTGGGTGGCTGTTTTCGTTTTCGGCTCTGCACTTTTTTCAGATATACATCAAATACATGCACATGTCTATTCAAGCTTTAGCTATTCATGACAATTGAGTTGTAAAATTTTATGCACTTAACTACTCAATCCAACTACAAGATAATCCTTGACCTGTCTAACGGTCACTCCCCGCTCTTCTTGTTTAATCCCAAAAAGATGTAACTTGTGAAAGGACCTTTGTCCGATAAAGTATTTCAAGCTTATTCCATATTCTTTCTCATCAAATCCCGAGCTTACAGACATACACATTCACATGCACACACAAGCGCACAGACACGCGTTTCCGCTCCACACGTCTGTACTCTTAGTGCATTTTTTGGGAGGACTTTGCGATGAAAACAGGCCGTGTGTGTATGCCTCCAGTTTTTATCACGGATTGCACTTTTTTGCCGGCTGAATAGCATAAAACAGAGGGTGTACTTTTGGTTATTGCGTTCCGCGAACGGGCGCAGAACGCCCCACGCACATACACACACATTTTTTCCCTCTCTCGCCATCACTAACCATCTGCGAACCGCAACAAGCAATATAATGTTCGCATGCAGGGCCTTGTTCTGACTCATCGTCGCCCGCAATTTCTTCTGACGATCGCTGTTTCACAACACTATTGGCTTCCGTGAGGAGGCGATTCAAGTAGAGAATTACCGTGTCTTTTTTTTAGGTTCCTCGACCGCAAGAAGGCGTGCCCGCCGCGTTCCACGCCATGCAACAAGGGGCATGGCGAATCCCGTTCGCCGGATTCACTCCCTCTCAACCTCAACCTCTGTTTCGGTACATTCAATTAATGCACGTGACTGTGCACTTTTTCCCATTAAACTAGTTTTTTTTTCGCTCTTCAGATCTACTTGGCAGCAACCGTCCACCGGAGAATGGCCAGCAAATAATAATAAGATTAATGAGTGGAAGAAATGGAATTCTTTGGAGGCTCCATCGCCTGAGCTAGCACGACCTCGACCCCAGCTGCTTTCTCCCCATTTTGGCTCACCAGTTTTGCCAGGAGGACAAGCTGCTCTACCGGCATCTCGTCCCGCTGAAGTGATTAAGGCAGAGCAGCCATGCGAGCCCATGGATCAGCATGATATTCACAGCCTTAAAGAGGTAAGTACT